GTGTCTGTCTGTCTGTCTGTCTGTCCCTTCATTCAGAAACACAACAAGTCAGAGCCGGGTTGGTGCTGAAGTTCCATCTGGTCTAAGCTCTGTCTCCAAGGATGGCCCAGCAGAGCCACGCAGCTCTCCAAGCCTTGGGAAGGAGATGCTCTCAGCCAGGGTGGAAAAGTTGGGGGAGGGGGGGGGCAAGAAAGAGAAATGCTTTCCCAGGCTGGAAGGAGCTGCTGGAAGGGAGAACAAAGGAGGGGGAAAGAAGCCAACGCTGCTGCATAATGAAAGCCAAAGTCTTGCAGGGAGAAGCAGCACATCTGCAAAGCTCACCTCTGCGGTCTCTTTAAGGAAGCCCACGTTTACCGTTCCTCCACTTTTTCATGCCAGGTGCTGCCACTTTTCATCTTGGATCGGCTTCAGAGAGGACAGAAACGCATCTCTGCGCTTACAGCTGTGGTGCAACACAACCCAGGTCGGCTCTCCATCCCCCAGACGGGTGCTTCAGAGCTCAGCAGTTGAGATCAGCTCCAAACAGGGCCCCTGCCCCTCGCTCAAATGCTAACTGCAGCTTCACAGGAGGCTCTGGGAAAGCAGACAAGCTGCCACGCCAGTCCTGTAACACCAGTCCGCATTCACAAACATTGTTCTGCTCCTTCAGATGCCACGATGGATTTATTCCAATGAAAAGTCCACAAATATTTATTCAAACCCGTCCGACGCATCACCCACATCTGAGGGAGAGCCCACTCCTCCTCGCTGCCCCGCTGGGTCAGGGTTGCAGAGACAAAGCGTGCAGGTAGTGCCAGACCCCAAAGGATTGCTGCTGGAGCTCCAGGCAGCACCTGCAGGTCAGCATGCCTCCAGTGCACTCAGAATGCTGCAAGGAAGCTGCTCTGCTGCATTCCACCCCTGAGCCCAGCACCCTCTGCTTATGACCTCCCCCTCTGACACAACTTCAGCCCAGAAAGATATATTTAACCCAAGGCATCAAACTCCCCTTAGGATGGAAGCCAGCACTACCATAATGAGCTCTGCGGGCAGCAACGTGAGCACTGAGCAGACACCCAAACCCTGCATACGGCAGGGACCAAGCTGGGATAAAGTCAAGCAGCTCAGCATCCCCTGCACCTCTACAAGGTGCGCACAGCCGTGATTTCTACGAGAAACAACACTCATTTTTCCTTACCATCCTTTCCAAGCAGTGTTCTCGTGTGCCCTCTTTTCTTAAAAGCAACAGGGACTGGCAGAGTGTCCTACTTACTCTGGATACCTGATTAAGCGCTTTTGAACAATGAACTGCTCTCTGCTCTTCTGCTTTCACATGCAAAGCAAGCACAGCTCAGGATTTGCTCGCTCTCTCCCCCCCTCCCCAGGTGAAAGTCGTTTGAGGGGCATCACCCCAACCAACGGCGCTGCTGAGCAGAAGGGATTGCAAGCAATTCAGGTCTGACACAGAGATGCTCACAAATGGGTGAGGAGCAGTGCTGAAGCCAGGACCTACAAACACAGCTGGAAATCAAGGATAAGAAACACACCACGTCAGCACGAGCCAGGAAGTGACAAAATGTCATGAAGAGATGAACTGACAACTGTAATGAGAGCAGTAAAGTAAATGAGAGCAGAACACGTCGGTGATCCACAGGGAAAGCTTCCTCAGTGTGCAGCACAGGATCTGCCCCCTGCCACTCTCACAGAGGTGTTATTTACAGGCCTGGCCATAGGGGCCACCTTGTCTCACTCACACGTGGAAAACAAAAGGAAGGGAGAAAAACCAGAATTTCAGAATTCTGATTGCTCAGCCAACTGATGCACCGGTCACAGCCACCAATGGGTGCCATGCCCAGGAGCAAAACTCCTTCCTTACCTCCAAGCCCAGCCAGGCAGCACAGGGAGGAGCCAGCACACCAGCCGTGCAGTGATTCACTGCAACACTGCAGTGCAGAAGGCGCTCGGATTTCCCACTATGACACGGGATAATTACAAAGCCCTGCTCCAGCATCCTGACTGCAGGCACTGCAACCACCAGGCTGCACCCAGGGCACTGCCTGAGCCTGCAGAGCTGCTGGCAATTGGTCAGTGAAGCCCTCAGCTCGCCCCAGGCAGCTTGATGCAACCGCCAGGTGAGAGGTCTGAACTAAATAAGTGAAGCTCCCATCCAGGACTTCCTTCCATCCTTCAGGAATATTTTCTGTGAATCTCAGCCCCAGGTTGGAGATTGCAAGGGTAACTCACCGATCGCTTCCCAGCTGATGAGCACAGGGCTGCCTGACGCAGGTAACTCATCAGCCAGAAATAGCTGCAGAGTTCTGATGAAACTCATCCACAGCCAAATGCAACACAAAGAAACCAGCCTGAGGAAGGCAGCTGCTACGGACACACGTGGTTGTGGATCATTAATCCGGGAGCAAATGAAACCGTGCGGTGGTCCCCATCCACCTCAGTGTAAATGCACTGTGAAGCAACCCAACCTGCACGCCCTTTCTTTCTGCATTAGCTGCGTGAGACTCCAGAGTGCCTTATTAAACCAAGCCCAGGGCTGGCAGGGCTTCCCAAAAAAGGTGTAACGAATACCTCCCTGCTTTGTTTATGCATTACACGACGGCCTGGTTATCTGCCTCAGTGACAGCACCTTCCCAGGCAGCAGCTCTGGGAGCGCTCCAAAGGACCTCCTGAGTTCTGCTGGAAGGATGCAATCCCTGCTCCACGGGCAGGAGCAGGCAGGACACAGCAGGACAAATGCTTCACGTCTGTCCTTGACCAGATGCCGTTTCTGGAATGCCACCGTGCCAGAAAAACTCAAAGGTCAGCTCTTATCTAAGCTTGATGTAAACAGGTCTTTGTTTCTTTTGCATGCTTCTACTTGGATCCCACAGGAAATGCAGTCACTTATTGCAAGCAGGCTGCAGGGCAGCACTCACAGCACTGCTCTGCCTAGGGAGCTCCAAGCCAACCAGTTTCCTGGGGGAAGGAAGGAGCAGCCAGGAACAGAACCAAGGGATGAGGCAGAAGTTTTTAGGCACCATCCAGATATACTGCCTGCTATTGGAACTATGAATAAACACAATCAAAAAAGTCTTCCCTCTAATAAGGAAATTCAGCTAGCTGCAAAATCCAGCTGCGTTCGAGCATCCCTGCAACAAGGCTTGGCTTTCTGCACTCCCACAAACGTGGAACAATGCTTCTGTACATCCCAGGAGCTGCCCAAGGCAGCTTCCCAGTGGAAAAGTCAGCCTTTCCCCTTCCTGTCTCCCAGCTCATACGACTGATTGAGAAGAAGGCTATTTAGATGTGCTGGGATGCACCAGCTCCCAGGGCTGACTCCACGAGTTCCAGTCACAAGCACAAATGTGCATCGAGCCCCAAGAGCACCGGGGCTCCCGAGACCCAACGTCAAAGCGCTCGTGCCAACAGTCGACGCTGCAAAGGCAAATGCTGAACACCCACGGGCACCAACTTGGAAGGAGGTTGGGGGGCCTGCCCTGGGTGCCAGCAGGCACACACAGCAGCTTGTGACACCGCACACAGCAGAAGGAGCACTCTTTATTGGCTTTAAAATCTTTGGCTTTTAAAGAGGGCTGGGGAACGCACAGGCATGACTAACACAGAGGGCAGAGAAGTCAGCACAGGATTTCACGCATCATGTCTCTGAATACCACGCTTCCACTTGGGATTAGGATGAGTGGCAAGGAAATTTCACTTTGCTAGACAACACACGAGCCCATAATATAGGAAATTTAATATTATCTTGGACACAGAACTTTGTCAAATGCTGCCTCTAGTAACTGCAGTAGTAATAAACTCCATTTTGCTACTAATCCCAACAGCTTGCAGGCATTACAAAGCAGGAGTAACACTACTGAACTCATCTCCAACAGCACGAGGGCAGAGTGCCCCTACGTCCAACCAGCACACACAAGCCCAAGCCATACAGAAATTCATCCCAGATGAATTGCTAACAACCCAAAATGAAGTTTAGCTAGAATTCAGTATTTGAGAGCTGTAATATGCATCATGTTGATCAGCATTCATCCACGTGAGTGGGTTTTTGGGGAGATGCTCAAGGTAGTGAGCACACACTGCATCACTCAGTAGAATTTGTCACAGTACAGACCAAGCACAAGCATCGCTTTGGACAACAGGTATCAGAATGCATCCAATCCTCCATAGAGATCTGAGCAAACCCCCAATGGGGGGGGTGCCAATAAGGCCCCGTTCCAGAGAGGCCCATTTGGGCTGCAGAGCTTACAGTCAGTGGCAGCCATTCTCCACAGGCTGAGCACAGCTGCAAGCAGCATTTCACACAGCCGAAACAGAGCACGGCCTTTGCAGAGATCTGCTCTGACAACTTTGATAAGCTCTCCCAGGGAAAAATGCTTTTCTTTGGAAGAATTTCTCCTGTTCCTTGACCTGTCAAGGCCTCTCTCCTTGATGATGATTTCCCTCCTCCACACACACAAACTCACAGCTAATACTTATGCAAACAGCATCCAGTTAACACCACATTAGGCTGCTGTCAGCATTTAATGCCACTCACAAATAAGAAGGTTCCCACCAGTAACCTCTCAGAAATGAAGATGCCACACTCACTTCACAATTCCACCAGACCAAACCCTTGCAGAGACTTTTCTCTCCCCCAACCAGTTGAACAAAACACAAAACAAAACAGAACTCTGCTTTGGTTTGCAACAAAGGTTCCCACTGTGAAGAGACAAAGGTTTCAGGGGACAGGTCCAATGCACCAGCAAGCAACCAGACACAACTGCTTACAGCATTTTGGGTCTGCTGCTCCAGCTGCTGCAGGCAGCGTGTCCAGGACTGCTCTGCTAGAACACAACTGGGGGCATGAAGAACATCCTCAGAGCTGAACTAGGGAGCAGCCACAAGTCACACCGCGCCAGTTTTAACCTTTCCTGCTTCAATCGAAACACATCCCTGTAACACCCAGGTTTTCTACCTGCCACCTCTCAGCTCACTCTGCCAGAAGGAAGCAAAGCACGACTGCTACTCACAGAGGTATGTGGGGCTGCTCTGGATCTGCTTTGGTCAGTTCCTCCTCCTCGACGTCAGACTCGCCTCCTGAGCTGCTGTCAGTGACATCCGAGTCGAACGCCTGCTCGCTGGATCTCAAGTTGGCCATGCCACTGGCTGTGAATCTCTCCAGTTCTTCCGATATCGAATCGCTCTTCAAGAAGCTGCTCAGGCCTTCCGAAGTAACTGTCTCACTCGCAGCTTTCCTCAAAGCTGCTTCTGCTTTTCTGGTCAACATCAGTTGGCTGCGATGCCTCACAGGGTCCAAAGTCGGAAGCTTGCTCAGAGTTTTCTCCAAGAAGCCGCCCAACTGCTGCTGGATGTGTCTCTCCACCTGCTTCGCCTGCACCACCTGCAAACGTTTCTGCAGCCTTCGAGCTCGGTTCTCAATGTCTGCCTGCCTTCTCAGCAATGCCCTCGTCCTCATCTCGGAGTCGAGGGCGCTGTGATGGCCGGCCGACAGAGAAGGTTTCTGCTCCTCCAACTTACCGCTCCCAAATTCCGAGTGACTGCCAACCCCAGGCAACCTCGTCTCTCCACTGCCACCCTCCAGCACCTGCTGCTGCTCCGTGGAATTAAGGGAAGATTTGTTTGCAGTGCTATTATTGCTAAAAGGAGTCGTGCGTTCCGCATCAAGGCTTCTGTGTGGAAGAGTGCAATTGGTCAACCCGGCCTTCAAGTCCCCCAATTCAGAACCTCCTGCATTATAGTCAACGCCCTGGAGGGCAGCAGCAGGAGAAGCACACTTCCCACCGTTCAGAGCACTAGAGTTTTCATGGTCTGAATTGGTACTTTTGGCCAATTTCTTGGCCAAGCCGTTCACAGGCGCTTGTGGGAGAGGTGGCTGGCTATTAGTACTCATTGTTTTTAGATTCTCCAAAGTAAATTCCAACACCGGTTGCCTCCCCAACAGATCACTCGTTTTCAAGAAGGACTGAGATAAGAGAGAGTGAGATTTAAGGACTGTCTGCTTGTTGAAGACTCCTTGCAGCTTCAGAGGCTCTTTTGAAGAGACAGATGTTACATCCGAGCAGAGATAAGAGGCCACTAGTGGCTGCAGCTTGCCCAGCTCTTCCTTCGTGGGGTTGTTTCGGAAATCTAAACTGGGATCCTCCGGAGCAATGGCTTTCCTTTTGGTGCCGTTGGCAGCCAGGAGGATGTTGTTGGCGTTGCCGTTGCTCTCGGCACTGCCAGGCGACAAGGTGGAGGACGGGGGAGCCAGCTTGAATCGGATGTGGTGAGCTTCAGCTGCTGCGTCAGTGAGAGCGGGCGCCATCGCAGCCATTCAGCACAGAGAGACGGGAAGTCCAGCCTCTCCCGGTGCCGAGGCCAGCTCCACTGCCTCCCACTGCCTCTCCCGAGGACAGCCTGCGGAAAGGGATGGAGAAAGAGAAGGTTAAGCTCCGCACTCAGCACGGCAAGCAATGCAATAGCAACGAGATACGCTGACCCCATGCTCCCACGTGCAGCGCATCCTCCCCGTGCCACCAGCAGCCCTGCACCCAGCAGAGCCACCAGGCAGGCGAACACAGAAGTGGCACCGGGGTTCCAAGGATCCCCCGGAGCAGCCACTGAGCAGCCCCACATCCTTCCAGGCCTTCAGGACCGGTTCCACCCCAGTACCACAGTCCATCGCCCGTTGCACAGCTCACCAGCTGCTTTAAAATCCTTGCGTTACGTCTGCATAACACTCCTCACTACGACTGCTGCCAACTCAGGTGGAAGCAGTGAGAAACGAGAATCGCAACACATGAGAGAAAGGCCTTGAAGGGAACAAAACTCCATCTGCTCCAACTCCCAGCGGCTAAAGAAACCCCACAACTCCACATCCTCTGGCAAACCCACTGAAGGATGTCAGGGAACTCAGCTCCCCGGTGTGCATGAAGCCTACTTTCCCAGAAGTTCATTTCCGAGCAGGCCAGGTGATTTCCAGTGTTAGCTGTTCCTATTTCTCTTTCAAAAGGGGTGGATAAAGATTAACTCACACCATGACAGAGCAGTTCTGCACTGACCATAACAGAAAGGCATCAAATCAGTTACGAAAAACGACCAAAGACACTTCATTCACATACACTCCAATTTTTTTTTCCTTTGGACAGCAAGTTCCTGGTCATTTACCTACTTTCTTTGTCACCAAGGAGTGACAGCCCCTTAAATGCCTTCTTGTTTCTGCTCAAACAGCATTCACATCACCCACAGGACAGGCTTTTCTGTCAGTACAGCACTCCCTTCATTCTCCTTGTGCTGCAGAAGTTGAGCAGTACTTCCACAAGCTATTCCAATGTCAATTTAACAATAAGGAACTGCACTGATGCCTTGCCTGATATGCCAATCCTCTAACTTCACATAAATTTGCATAAGCTTGTTGTAGCTGCTCATTAACGCACCCCAATGACCAAATTAACACAGCATTTTATAGGATAAGTGAGGGCTACCTAAAGTTTAAAGATGGTGAATGAGCAAAACTTAGCAGTTAGGTTTGGTTTGGGCCTCATTCGGCTGCACCAGGGCTGCTCCCCAGAGTCAGCAGGTACCTAAGCCAGCCAACAGAACCACGCTTAAATCCCAATCCGCTTCTCTGCCCTCTCCATCCTCCTCCTCTCGGGCCTCCAAATCTTGGGAGATGGGCACTGTCCTCCTGCAAGTGGGATCTGAACGCTGCTCTCAAGTCAGATCTGAGCAACTCAAGAGAAGCCCAATTCTCCATCACACAAACCTGGCTCTGTCTCCCAAAGAAAGACCAGCAGAGATGAAATCACTTGCAGATACGCTGCTAAGACTCACCAGGTCCACATCTCAGACCTCTTCCAGCTGCCCAGCCCACCGATACGTGACACAGGCAGAGAAGATGGGGGAGAAAGGATACGCTCAGAGGAACTGATAAACAACGATCTGAAGCTTTTGTAACAGCAACAGAGATGCCAGGTGTAGATGAGGCCTTGAAGCCCCTTCCAACAGAACCTTGCCTGCTTGGCCATCAACACACCTTACCCTCTCTGAACAAGAACACTGCATACCTTAAAAATTTAACAGCCATTGCACTGAAAATACTTTTTACACCGTCACTTGGGCCCATAAATAAAGAATGGCAGTAACTCATCAGAGCAGAAAGCAAAGAGGAACCTGCAGGGAACTTTCCACTTGTAGCTAAAACGCCCTTGGGACAGGAGGGAAAAAAAGAGCAGCAGAATAAAGGACTTCCCCACTTCAGCGTCCTACCAAAGCACACACGCTGGGAGTGTCGCTTCCACGTCGCCCTGCCCTGCAAAGGAAGGTCCTGGATGGTTGCTCTTTGCCACCATGACAAGGCAAGATAGGGAGAGCGGCTTAGGAAACACCCACAGCCAAACAGCACGGCAACCCTGCCTGGTGCACAGCACAGCCATCCTCCCCAGCACAGCCACTTCACTGAGTCTGAAAAGCGCTCCGGAGCGAATTTGTAGGTCATCAACTTCAGCTGCATTAAGAGAAGTAGAAAACGGAAGGCAAAACTTTCGTGCTGCCTCTTCCTCTGGGTGAGCAAGCCGCTTTAAAAAGAAAGCCCTCCCACTAAGGCAGCGCAGTCCTCCCTGCACTCGCTGTGTTGTGGACAGCATTTGTAATTCCGAAGCCTGGAAAGGCTCCCTTAGTAAGTTTTTGTTCTGGTAGCTGAAAGATGACCTCCAAAAGGCACTGCGTGTATATTCGTTTCACTGAAGTCCTTGGAAACTGTGCGCTAGGCAGCACTGAATTACCAACAGACCTTGGAAGAAACACTAACGATCATTTGGGACCAGGCTTTGGGGGAAAGGATATCAGCAGAGTGAGGCGTTTGCTATTAAATCCCCCATTCAAAGCACCAGGAATTTCCATTGAGGACTGAGGGGAGGTGGGCACAGGGAGAAGGAACAGAGGAACAGGTCATTGGTGTGGACACAGCCTGGGGGACTCGGAGAGCTTTCCAAGAGTTCTGACCATCATTCTAAGAACAACCTGACTGTTCTGAACCTCCTGTGTGCCCTGGGCCTCCAACAGGACTGGTGAGCCCACCCTGCAGGTCCCTTTCCCTGCACCCCCCACCCCAGGGGCGAGAATTGGGACCACTGTGGGTCCTGCAGCAGAAGCCTCCGGTCCCACTGCACACATCCCCCCAGAAATGGGGCAGCTGGAGCTCACCACAACATCCCCCAAAATCCACCAGCGCATCACTGAGTTTTTATTTTATCATTATTATTTTTCATTTAAAACTAGAGCACTGCCAAAGCAGTTAGCATTAATTAACCGAGGGAAGATGAAAGGCTCCAGCAAGCAGCTCGAAGCAGGGGAATGGCAGCTCGCCTGGCTGCCCTCGCTTCCTCAGGAGCCCCACACGGCCACCGAGGGAGCAGAGCCCTGGGACAGCTGTCCTCAGCCACAGAGCCACATCACCTTCACCTCCACTGATGCTGTGTTTCCCACCATCACCCTCTGCAAGCAGAGCAAAGCACAGAGGCAATGCTGGGCCGTTTGGAGAGGCAGGAGGAGGGCTGGTCCTCACACACAGTCACACTGCCCTCCCCAGCAGCCACCAGGTCACGATGCCCCACAACAGCCCTCCTCTGACACACCGACTTAGAGACCATCTGCTTCTGGAACTTGGTTTTAGAGCTAAGCCCCAAAAGGAGAACCGGCTTTGACGGTGCGCAAACCCTCGGGACGCGGGCCTGGAGAGAACGTGGGAAGTTGTTGTTCTCTGTGAGAGGAGTTTCAGGAGAAAGGACTGGGCACAGGAGGCTCACAGGGAGACCAGGAGAGCCGCCAGCAATGGGAACAGCAGCACTGGGGACCTCCGTGCAGGCAGGAAACCCCCAGCCTGCAGCCCGTGGGCTGCGCTCCCCCCATGGCCCACAGCAGCAGCGGCGTCTGCCTCCTCCTGGAGCTGCGTCCCCTGGATTTCTGCAGAGCTGAATTCCCCATCGAGTTTCAACCCCTGACGTCCGTATGTGAAATTCCAGGCTGGTTTCATCAAGTGCCCAACAGTGCTGGGACTGCTCCCACCGAGAGATCCCCACGTCTCCATCCAAAGCCACTGAGCAACACCTCCTGTTCCTGCGCCTTGTGCCAGGAATGGGGAGAAGGAAAGGGAATAAAACCCTCACTACACCTCATTCTGACACTGGAAGATGCCATCTGAGCCCACAGAAACGCAGGGACCCAACAACCCAAGCTGACACCCCATGCACAGAAACATCTCCTGCGTCTAAAATGTGCATCCATGAGACATCAGCACCTACCGTCCTCTTCTGCAGCCCTTGCTCCCAATCAAAAGCCCTCCAGACCAAACTAGAAGCTGCTGCTTTTCCCTTGCTGGCCCACAAAAGCTGCGGGGTTTTCTGGCGACTTCAAAAAGTGACCCAAAGTTTCTTCCTCCAATGATGCATTACATCCAAACCTTATTGGATAGAAATAAAACCCATCGATTGCATAATTGGAGGCAGAAAAGGTTTCATCCGTCTGATGTCATAAAGAAAACAAAAAAAAGCAAAAGCCACAAAGCAAGGTTGGCTGCCATCTCCCCAATCAGAAGCCTGGAAAGTCAAATAATCACAAGCAAGAACAGCTTCAGCAGGTAAATAAAGCACCTGGAGATAAAACACTCACTGCTTTTGAGTTGTGCTTCCAAGCAAAGTTGCCTGCTACAGTCAAATAAACAGCAGCACGGTATAAGAAAATAATGGGACGTCTGCAGAAAGCAGCAGTGTGACAGCACTCCCAAAGACCAAAAACAAGCTTTAATTATGAAATCTGGGTCTCCCCCCACAGCTGGTATCAGAGAGATTTTGTTTTTCTTTCGTGTAATCTGGGCAGACTGCCCAGGAAATATGAAAACCTGAACTCAGGGCTCTGAGAGCAAGTTAAACAAAAAAACACAATTGCCTCTTCATTTTAAAGATGCACTTCCATTCGCCGGCTGCTATTCCAGGCACCTTTACTCAAAGGCAGGCAAATGTTCTTACCAAAACTCCATGGCCACACTGGCCAGTGGCCCTGCTGTGCCCCAACCCTGCAAGACCAGCACCAGTCCCAGGCTCTGAGCACCTCCAGGTGCTCCATCAGCCCAAACTGGCAGGGCAGCCTCCACAAACACCTCATTTCAGATGGAGTTCTCTGGGATGCTTCGCCGCAGGTCTCAGCTTTCATTGCTGCCCAGATCTCAGGGCACAGAACTGCCTGCAAGGACCACCGTGCAGCAGCGAAACTGAGATGCTACGAAGCCCTGAATGGAGCTGCTTGCTGGAGATGCTGCTGACACACAGCACAAGTTCCTTCTTATGGGGCACAAGTACAGCCCCAAGCGTTTGCTGCTTCTCATTCAGGGCAAGGCAGCCTACACAGCTCCTCCCATCACTGCAGCCCTCAGCAGGAAGTCAGAAAGATCTCAGAGCGGAGACTGCGAGGTTGGATAGAGCTGCAGATGGGAAGTCTCTCTAAGGTCCTTCTGCTCACGTCTCCGAGGTCAAAAAATACACACAAACGAGCTCTGAATGCCATAGATTTCAATTGAACTTTTTTCTCTCTTTTTAAATAGTTGGGATTTTCAAAAAACACCCCGGCTTTCTACTTTGCAAAGTTTGTAGAAGCCTGAACACCACCAGGCACCACGGCCTGCCTGTGCTGAATGCAACTCCGCATCCCTCCCTTCAGATGCAGTTACCTCTCCATTTCATCAGCCAAACTGCACCGTTCCACCCCAAAACTCAAACGGTGCTGACAGCCACTCCCAAAACAAAGCCCTCGTGGCCACGAGCGCAGCCCATTTCTCCATCTGGAAACAAGAGGTGAGCAGCCATCAGCAACAAGGGAAACGAGGCATCTGTTTCCCAACTCGCTCGTGGATTTACCCACAGCTGAACCCGGGCCCAGGAAGGCACAGGGTTTAATGGCATTATGTTTACTGCAGTGCTGGAGCAGCAGCACTCACAGCGTGACAGCTCTGCGCCCAGATGAGAAGCAGCAGAAAGCCTCCATCCCCTGTAAACTATTTGTTACGGAAAGCTGCATCCTCAGAGGCGCCCCTTGCATGGTGGGAAAACCAGGCGGCGATTCCACACCATTTCTGTTTCTCCTTCCAGACAGACGTTGTATTCCTGGAAGTTCTGAGCAGGGCTGTGGTAGTTACAAAATGCTGCAGAGGCAACGGTGCTGCTCGGCTCACCTGAGCTGCCCAACGCCGAGCAGCAGAACTGCAATGCTCCAAGCACACAACACGCACCAAGTCCCACCTGGGCCGCTTCCACCCAACTGAGCTCCCATTTATACCTCAGCTGGCTCAGAATCCATCAGAAAAAGCTAAACAACAGCATCGATACGCTATGAGAGTTCTGACCCCCGCTGAGCCCTCACCCTTCTCTTTGGCGGCCCTCAGCCTTATCTCCTACCCTGCCTGGAGGAGCCCTCGGAGGCTGCGGCGGCCGCAGCACTGAGCAGGAGGAGGGTGGAGTGCCCAAACTCCAGAGACATTCTTTTGTTCGGAGCCTCCATGAGATAATGGCAGTTGTGCTCATAGAAATAACAGTTATAAACAGGGCAAAAGGAAGTGACTTTGGTCGGAGAGCCGCTCGGTTCCCCCCCGCTTTCCCCCCCCCCTGCAGGTTTTGGTGATGTCAGGATTTCAGCCGCTCTCCGGTTACCAGATGAGCTCTGGGGGACGATGGGGACTCCAACGCAGCCTTTCAAAACACACAAAATAAAAACACCAGAAAGCAACGCAGCCTCATCTGCGTGGTCATCCGCCGCCGTATCATTTCAGGAGAGGGAACACAAGTCATCCTCATTGCTCAATCATCACAAATCGGCTCCGGCAGCAGCGCCGAGCTCCACAATTCGCTGCTCCTGCAGCAGATCTCTCCATTAAGCCCTGCGCAGCTGCGCGCCCGGCAGCTCACAGCAGCTCCTCCGCGCCAAAACCGCACCGTGAGCCCACGGAGCCCCGGCTCCATCCTCAGCCTCCTCAATTAAAGACTGAATTACGGGAAAATTAAGGAGAAGGAGGAGGAGGGGACAGCGAAGCGGAGAGAACCGGGAGCTCCAGCGCGAAAACAAAGGCTATAAAAAGGATAAATGTGGTTTAAAGGCAGAAGGCGGAAGGCAGCGTTGTGCCCCAGCCCGGCGCTCACCTCCCGCTGCCCGGGGGGGTTCTGTGATGTAACGCAGCACCGCACGGTCCGGCTCGGAGCACCGCACAGCCCTGCAGTTCCTCCCACGTCCTGCCCGGCTCCGTGGAAAACTACAGTTTTGTCATTCAAGTGCGTTTTACATAACAGGCGGTGCGAGCCCGGAGCCCGCGCTGTGCTCCACCTGTACGCAAACGGGATTAGCGGGGAGGGGGCAAAGCGCAGAGCCCCGGGCTGGGGGGGGGCGGTTAGAAATAGCGCTGCTTTGGGGGATCTGAGGAGGGAACGGCGCTGTTTTTCAAGGATTTCGGCCCCATGCCTCCCGCCCCGCAAAGGGAACCGCTCGGGATCGCACAGCCGGCGATGCCGATCCCGTGATGGAAGTAAACAGCCGCGCAGAGCTGCCCCGCGCCGCCGGGGGGAGGAATTACCGGGGCCGCATTCAAGGGGAAAAAGATCACAATAAAGGGGGGGGGGACGGGACGTGGGGGAGGGGGATGTGGGGGGGCAAACAGCCGGAAAGTAAATAGAGGAACGCGGCCGAGCCCCGAGCCCGCAGCCCGTCGCCATTGTGCGCCCGGAGCGGAGCAGCGCGGAGCCCCGCGCACCGCTGTCAGCAGCGGACCCCCCCGGCCCCCCCCCCCGTCCCGCACGGCGCGTGTTGCAAGCTCCGCGGTTATGCAATTTCTCCTCTTCCCCCCCCCCCTTTTTTTTTTTTTCTGTTTACTTTTACAAACTTCTCCTACCCCCCCCACCGCCCCCCCGGAACCCCTCCTCCCCCCCACGCCGATGCCCCCCAACCCCCCCAGTAACCACGTGAGCACAACCCCCCCTCACCCACCCCCCCAACGTCCCCACCCTCCCGCCGCCGCCGCCCCCCCCTCCCCCGCCGTGACCCCCGCGCACTTTACCCGACGGCGGCGCCCGGCACCGTGCGGGGAGCGGAGCCGCGGGGGGGGGGGAATGCGAGAACGGGGGGGAGGCGGTGAAGTTGGGGCGGGGGCGGCGCGGGGCCGCGGGTGCCGGCGGGGCGCGGCGGCGCTAACAAAGGGGCAGCGGCGGGGGAGGCGCGGGGCAGCGGCGCGGGCGCGGAGCGGCACTTACCACGTGACGGGCGGCGGGCGCGGGCCGACCCCGCGCAAAATGGGCGCAGTTTGCAAACCGGCAGCGGCGGCAACGAAGGGGGGGGCGGTGCGGTGCCGCAGCCGCCGCGGGCACCGCCGGCCCCGGCGCCCCCCCCGCCCACCCGCCCGCCCGTTCGGGTCCGCCCCGGCGGCGGCGGCGGCGGGGGGATGGGCTCGGCCCGCTCCCTCGGTGCGGGCGCAGAGCGGCGGCCGCGCTCCGCGCTGGGAACCGGCGGTGCCGCGGGGTGTGGGGGGGTGGGGGGGGACACGCGACACGGCCCCCCCACCCCCGGCTCGGGGCGCGCCGGGCTGGCTGCGGGGCGGACCCGGCGCCGAGCGGTGCGGGCGCTGCGGTGCTTTCCTTCCTTTCCCCCCCCGCTCCGGGAGAGCGCGGCGGCGGCGGTGCGGCTTCGGAAAATGGCGGCCGGGCGCTTTCTCTGCCCTCCCCCTCCCTTCAACCGGAGAATGCACGGAGGGAGGGAGGGAGGGAGCGGGGGGGTGGGGGGGGAGGAGGCAGCGCGCACCGCAGCGCCCCCCGCGGTCACAGCGCGCTCTGCGCCGCCCGCGCGCCCGCAGCCAGGGGGCCCCGCCGAGCCGCCGCCGCGCGCTGCAGTGCGGGAGGGGGCGCTGCAGTGCGGATGGGGGCGGGGCGCGGCGCCCATTGTCCGCCCGCCGCGGGGTGGCCGCCGCTCGGCGCGCTCCGCCAGCCGGCAGGGGGCGCTCGGCACGCAGCTCCCGCTGCGCGGAGCGCGCAGGCACAAAGCGTGGCCGCGGGGGCCGATGGGAAACGTAGGCCGCGCTGCGGACACGAAGCGCAGGATGAATAATTCCAACACAAACACGACCCGAGGAGCTCCGGACCTCAGAACTCCTCCGTGCCTCCGCAGGGAACGCAGCCCTGCCGGGAGGTGCAGCTCGGCCTCCCCACACAGGGCGCAGGTACAGCACAGCCTGAAGCGCAGCTCAGCGCCGGGCAGTGCGATGCGGGCTTGCTGAGAGCTGGCACTGGTTTAACACAGCCGGCACCGGCCTGCTCTGCAGCCAGACCTGGCTTACGCCGCACATCTTGTCTCTAATTCCAGCCAAACGCTGCTTCCTGGCAACACAAAGCCTCAAAGCTCAGCACATACCAAGGAAAACAGCCCGGCTCAGGACAGCAGAGAGCTGTGCTGGTTTGCGTGCCTCAAACAACCCTGCTCTGCCCTCGCTGCCCTTCCTTCCCAGTTCTCCTGTCTCAGCAACCCCACACAGAACCTCGAGAAATTCCTCTGCATGTCTTGTTTGAGTCTTTAGGTGAGAAAGGAGACGGTGCTTAGAAGGAATCAGCACAGCGTGTTACCAGCAACCCCACACCCAGCAAGGGACCAGGAATCGCTTCTTAAAAGCTGCCACCCGGTGAGCTTTGCAGTTTCAGTTTCACCTCACCACGTGCGAGCAGCTCTTAAGGGCATCAGGACAGCAGACCCCACAAGGGCATTGAAGACCTCTGGTTTTTTTTAAGTCTATCTAGAATTCAGTTCAGCTGAAAAGAAAAGCAAGTAGTAGCACGTGAATCCACGTATTAGAAGAGGGAAAGGCTTTGGCAATCTGATACGGAAGAAGTTCAAAATATTCCTGTGCAATAAAGTTTCTCCTCTTCTACTCATGCTGCATTGCAGAATTCTGCTAACCAAGGAAAGCCTGACCAGGAGCAGAGATCTCCAGCCTGACAGTCTGCTACAGATCTGGATTTCCTCTCAGAAGGGACAGCTTTCATCAGCCAGCCTGACGTGGAGATGACGTAGCAAAAATTTCCGTGCAGCAATACAACTTTGGCCCCTGCCACACATCTTTTTATAGCCCTTCCAGTTTTCATTTGCCATTCAGAAACAGCGCTGCATTGCTTCCCCCAGCCACCCCCAATGGGCTCAGCACAGTCCTGCACCCCACACGGTGTCCCAGCTGACGCTGGCAGGCAGCCCCAACTTACATCTGGAGATCTCAGTGTTTTACAGCATCGACTGTAAGCCCCTCTGCAGACCCCCCTTTTTTCCAAAGCACCGCAGCTCACAGGAGCTCTCCATGCTGCTACAAACTCACGCCTGATTGTTTCTTTTTCCCCCATGCTCACACATCCATCACCTCTACCTATTAACCCTCACAATTCCTTGAAGGTACAACCTCTCAGCTTCACATACTTTACACACACAACGCCACATCCACTAACAAATATGCCAGAGCACATACAGGGAGACCTCTGAGCACGCAAAGACTCGAGACCAGTTTGGTAAACATCATGAAAGCAGCAGCAGCCAAGAGACACAGCAACAAGAGCCCCCTACTGACACTGCTGCTGGATACGGCTGCATTTCTTCCACATCCTGGTTTACAGCTTCACCAGACACTGTAACAAAAAGCAGTAATCTCACACATCAGCAGCCACTGCAGCTTCAGAAGGCACAAGACTCATCCGTAACTCATCTATATTTAGCTTTAAACCAGACAAGCTGTGACAACAAGAGACCTCTGCCACCTTCACTGCTCTTCTAACAGCCCTCTTTAGCATTAGGGAAAGCAGCCAGTCACAGCACCAAAGGCACCGCTCAGCTGTGACAGCCTGCACTTCCCAGCTGGTGATTATTCTGGAAATGCTGACCAGAAAGGGCAGAAAAAAAGAGCAAAGCCCTTGAAGGGAGCCACACGCAGGTAATGAGCACCGAGGCTGCAAGACCTTCTTGTCCCACCAGCAGCTCCTGAGCTACAGACCTGCATTTTCTTTGTCACAGGCCAACGGCTGTTTTCTCCTGCCCGAAACAAGCAGCTGTGAACGTGCTGCTCCCCAGGAGAGCCGAGTAAGAAGTAACACGACTGGTTTGAAAACCACATCAACGATTTCAGTTGAGTCACTCGAGGCTCATAATGGCGTTGTGTGTCCTCACCCTGCAGTCTCGTGGGGCAGAGCCACCTCTGGAGGTCACGTTTCCATTGCTGCTCGTGCTGGGGAGCTCTGATTTATCGCCGTGAAAGTGGGGACACGCACTGCTATTGACAGCAATCTGGCATTTTGAGTCAATTATTGTTGCAGCTGCATTTCTATGGTCTGTGCAAATGTATTTATATGGTTGCCATGGGGACGGGAGCTGGGAATGGAGGACTATGCAGTGAAGGTAACTAACCTCACCGTTCAGTCCCTGACAAAGACCTTGGTTTCATCCTACAAAGGCTGCTCAGATGCTCCACATTGTTGCATCAGACCCACACATGCTGCACAGAAAAGCCTAATTTACAGCCCTCATGAGAAGCTCTGTTTTTACCCATCTAAGGAACACGGTGAAGTAGTTCCCAAAGATGAACAGCACGCTGAATACTCCCAAAAGAGAGCCCCAAATTTCAGTTGCTAGTCCAGCTGGGGACCAGATAGCCAGGTTTATCAGCTCGCAGATGGCAAAGCATCCACTTATACCTTCAGCTGTAACCCCTATCACTTACACCCCCATTACATTGCCAGCAATACCATCACGTTGGCTCGGATCCACTCAAAAGACAAACGTAAAAGTGCACAAGAGGGGCGAGAGCCAGCCTCAGGTCCCATCACTTCGCTTGGATATTTGCTTAGGAACCACTGTGAGGAGCCATGAGGGGCTGGAAGGAACCTCTGCAGATCACCAGCTCCAACCCTCCTGCTAAAGGAGGTTTCCTGCAGCAGGTTGCAAGTTATGGAAACCACAGCAGTTTGTGCAGCGTGCAATATGCTGCCCCAGAGACTGAGTTCTATCATTATGTCATTTGTCTTTCAGTAAGGTGACAGTGTGCTCTGCAGAAGTTGCTGCCCTGCCACGATGAAACAAAAAAAATGGCAGGGAAATGTGAGAACCTCGAGGAACCCACATCTCACAGAGCCAGGAGACGCAGGGTGAGCGAGTTCTGGGGGCAGTGCTTGCACATCTCAATACTCACACTTGTGTTCCCACTGAGGAGGGACATCCAGCATCGCTGGGCTACAGACAAACAGATCTGGGAGTTTTCATGTAAGAAAATGAATCAGAAGAACGAGCAAGGGTGAGTTTTGAACCCCAGCAAGAGCGGTGTG